GCCATGGGGCTCGTGGCCGCCATGCTTGGTGGAGCTGTCCAGGTGAGGGGGCAAAGCCGGGGTCCTCAGCAGCCTTGGGGTGCAGGGAGAGGGGAGAGGGTTGGGTGCTCCCTGGGTTGGGGTCCCTATTCAGTCCCAGCATCGTTTAGGTTGGAAAAGACCTTTAAGATCATTGAGTCCAACCCTCATAGTCCACTGGGTGACGTTGCCCGGTACAGCGTCCTGCTCGCTGGCAGTTAAGCTCCGTTCTCTACTATTGCTGAGGTTACACAACCTAAAATAAGGCGAGAAGTTCTCAAAACTCAGGTTCTTTGGATGAACACACTCAGGTTTACATCATAGGAGTCAGTAGTCCAAGGCTATGTGCTTATATATATACATATACATGGTATTTTCCCTCAGAGCGGTGCCAGGGTGCTGGCCAAGGCTGTGATCCCAGCAAGGCACCCGGAGAGACCAGTTAATTTGTTTATTATAATCCAAAGTCTACTTCCAAGCAGATGGTGACAGAGCAGGGCAGTCACATACAGTGTCTTTAAATGCTGGTAGTCCATTCTCTGCATCCCAACACATCCACAGGCTCCATCTCCGGATCTCAGTGAACTTCCCGGTGTTCCAAGAACTTACTGTTCTTGAAAATCCTCTATAAAAACAGCACCTTGGTCTGTTACCCCGTCACCCGGGGAGCCATCGTGTGTTCGGTAGTGCCCCGCGCTCGCTCCGGCTTGCACTTACATCACCGAGCTGCCAGGGTTGCTTCATCCCCGGATTCGCCCAAAGGAAAATCCAACTGTTAATGGAAAAAGATAATTTATTGTGTCATCTTGCTAAATTCCTAACAGTGGGAAAAGAGACATTATTTAGTTGAAGAAAACTTATAACCAGAGTCTCACAGCTCTAATGGGCCCCTCCCGGGCCAGCTCCCGCTCCAGCGATAACAGGAGCCACTTAACTGGCAAATTGGATGCAAAAGGTTTTGGCAGCAGCCGCAAAGCTGTTCAGATTTCAATGGCCACGGGGGTTTTTTTACACAGTCATCCGAAAGCTCCCCAAAATGTCTGCTAAAGTGTCACTTTTCACATCTTCCAGCCCAGATTTTCCTTCTGGGATTAGCTGTTAAATCTAATTTAGGGCAGGAACTTCTCGCCCTTGGGCACCGCAGCCTTGGGACAAGGAGACAGGCACAGCTGCCTCGCCTGGAGCCTCCTTGCAGGCAGGACCGCAGGCAAGCCCCGTGGAATGCTGGCAGGACACGGGGAGGGATGTCCCCAGCTCAGCCCCATGCTGAGCGCGAGGGTCCCACACAGACACTGCTCTCCTCTGGGCTCTTGCCCCTTCCCACCTTCTCCCGTGGCACCTCGGGGCTGGGCCAGCGCGATTGTGGCTCCTGCCCCGCTGGACATGCCACAGCTGGGGCTGTTGCTGTCCCTGAGAACAGCTCATGGTGCCTGGAGCCCGGCTCGTGGGCTGGAGACGGAGGGTGGCCGGCTTGGTGCTGCCGTGGGGGCTACAAAATGACCGGTGGGGCTTGTGGACCTCTGGTTGCCCACTTGCCTTGCCAGGAGCATCCCGGGAAGCGAAGCTCCCGTTACGGCCGTGCCAGTGCTGCTGTTCTCTCCCCCACAGCTGCAATCCGGTGACTTCGCCGTGCTGAAGCGGCTGGAGGAGCTCTCCCGCACCTACCCCGAGCCCCTCACCCAGGAGCTGGCCACAGACCTGCGCATCGCCATCTGCACCCACGGGGCCTTCTGCCCCGGCACGGTGGGTGCTGCTGCTGACGGCGTGCTGGGGAAGAAGGCGGGGACGGGAGCGCAGAGCCCTGACGGCAGCCCCGGTGGAGCCCCAAGCCCGAGGGGCGACTGGGCACCACCACGGCATGGCTGGAGGCGCCCTTCGGCGCCCCGCGGAAGGA